TACCCATAGAAGCCAGTTGGACAGAACAGGAAGAAGAGGATGGCTTCTGACCACCCATGCTGCCAGGAACCAAGTGGCTGTAGGGGCAGGGGTGGAGGTCGGAGAGCTCAGATTCCGGCCAGCTTGTCATGCTGGTCTCCTTAGCAAACCTCCTAAGGTTACACAGCCCAGGGTGCTGGCTGGGTATAAGGAAGTCCTCACAGCCTTTGTCCTCTGGATCTGAAATTATACGGTTGGGTCAGAGCTGGAAATAACAACAGAAAACCCAAGCGTGGTGGCTCATGCCTGTAATCCCAGCACTTTGGGAGGCTGAGGCAGGTGGATCACCTGAGGTCAGGAGTTCGAGACCAGCCTGGCCAACACAGTGAAACCCCATCTCTACTAAAAATATATAAAATTAGATGGGTGTAGTGGTGGGCGCCTGTAATCCCAGCTACTAGGGAGGCTGAGGCAGGAGACTCACTAGAATCTGGGAGGCTGAGGTTGCAGCGAGGTGAGAGAGCACCATTGCATTCCAGCCTGGGCAACAGGAGCGAAACTGCATCTCAAAAAAAAACACAAACAAACAAACAAAAAAACAATGGGAAACCCCAAACCCCTTTTATCCTCTGAGAAATGAAACCTAAAAGAGGATGTTGGGGCCCAGTGAGCATGCAGCACTCAGGCCCACGCCATCATGAGAAGAGAGCGGGGCTGGCACAGAGCCAGACCCCTCTGAAAGGGTACAAGGGGCCTGGGCACAGGACACCTGGGTCCAGGTGTGGTCTCTACCTGTCACACTTGCTGTGTGACAAGTACAACTTCAGGCAAGTTCCTTAACTTCTCTGTGCCTCTAAACACTTCATCTGGAGGAATGCAGGTGGCCATAGCACCTATTCCCTGAGAATGAATGAGCCTGGTATGAGACACACATGCATGTGCGCTGGGACGTTTGGTTTTCGTGGCGTTCATCTTTCCAACAACCTCACAAGGCAGGTGTCATTACTGCCATTGGCTCATGAAGAACCCGAGGTTGGATTAGGTTAAGTCACTCTCACAGGCCACTCACAGCCAGGCCCGGGGGAGACAGTCAGTATTCAAACCTGAACGAGATCCTTACCTCTGTGCCACCCTGCTCCTGCTCACTGTTGAGCCTCAATGACAGCCACTGTGTGTGACCCCCGTTTGACACGATCACTGCTGTCTAGCAAACAGACAGAGTGGGTTGCTTGGGGAGGTAGTGAGCTCCCATCCCTGCAGAGGTATGCAAGCGTAACCTAGGCGGGGTGGGGGCCTTAAGCATTGGGTTTGGGCTTGAATCCAGTGCCATTTAAAGCCCCTATGACCCCTAGATGCTGGGGTTCTTCACTATCCTCCCCCAGAAGACGAAGAGGGCTCAGCAGGGGAAACTGAGGCCCAGAGCCAGAATATGCCCAAGGTCACTCCATCAAGACACTCTGCTGAAACCGCCCTACGTCACACCAAGAGAAAGGTGGGCTCCTTCCTCCAAGGGCCAGGAGAAGAAAGAGGGGTCAAAAAAGAAGTCACAGGACCATGGGCAAGGTGAGGGTGAATCCCGAAGCCAAAGATGGCCACTCGGCGGGTGTTCAGAGCCAGAGAGCAGGTGAAGATCGTCAGAAACAAGGTGAGCGTCAGACACCCTGGACTCCTTTTGACTCAGTCCCCTCATTCGACAGATGAACAAATCGAAGCCATGGGAGGCCGATTCTCCTGTCCCAGGTCCATAATGGCAGGCAGGGCACAGGACTGCTGCAGAAATAACAGGCAGGGATGTGACGGGGGCAGGCTGGGCTTCACAAATCCTGCCGCTCTGGCACAAAGCGGATGGTATTTGGGGTCTCTGGCCCGCACTCTGCTCCTGCCCATGCCTCCCGCCTACCAGACGATGAGCTATCTTCCAAGCATGCAGGATGCACTGAACGCTTCTCAAGGTGTCTTCATAAATTAAGTCAGTTTGAGCCTAATAGCAGCCCATGAGATAAGGGCTGGGAATTTCATCATCCACATTTTTTCGGAAGAGGATACTGCTGGCTGGGTGCGGTGGCTCACGCCTGTAATCCCAGCACTTCGGGAAGCCAAGGTGGGCAGATCACCTGAGGTCAGGAGTTCGAGACCAGCCTGACCAACATGGAGAACCTCTGTCTCTACTAAAAAAATACAAAATTAGCTGGGCGTGGTGGCGCATGCCTATAATCCCAGCTACTTGGGAGGCTGAGGCAGGAGAATTGCTTGAACCTGGGAGGTGGAGGTTATGGTGAGCCGAGATTGCGCCATTGCACTCCAGGCTGGGCGAAACGAAAAAGAAGATGAAACTGTCTCAAAAAAAAAAAAAAGGTGATGAAACTGCTGCCAGAGATGTGAAATCACTTGCTGGGGGTCACAGAGTCAGCCAGGAAGGAGTTAAGGTCTGCAGTCGCCCCTGAAACCTGGGTCACCCTGAACTGGCATTCCGCTTCCTGGGGGCAGGGGATGAGCACACTGGGTAAGAAAATCTCAGTCTCCACCCTCTGGAAAATGACTCAGCTCTCCGGCCCTTGGTCAGGATGTGGGGTGGGTGGGCAGGCAGCCACAAGGCTGGGCCATAAGCCTCTGGCACCCAGGCCCCGCTGCCACCCAGCATAATTCACACTCATACACTCTGCTCAGTTAAAGTGCACAGGCAGTGACTCAAGCCTGTTATCCCAGTAAAAACAGTGTTCTCTCAATTTTATTTTGTTTATTTTTGAGACGGAGTCTCGCTCTGTCACCCCGGCTGGAGTGCAGTGGCATGATCTCGGCTCACTGCAACCTCTGCCTCCAGGGTTCAAGTAATTCTCCTGCCTCAGCCTCCTGAGTAGCTGGGATTACAAGTGCCGGCCACCATGCCCACCTAATTTTTGTATTTTTAGTAGAGATGGATTTTGCCATTTTTGGTCAGGCTGGCCTCGAACTTCTGACCTCAGTTGATCCGCCTGCCTTGGCATCCCAAAGTGCTGGGATTACAGGCATGAGCCACCATGCCTGGCCTGTTCTCTCAACTTTACAGATGAGGAAACTGAGGCTCAGAGTGGCTAAGAACTCGCCCCAGGTCACCCAGCTCAGAAATGGCAGGTGGAATCTGGAATCTGTCTGTCTGACTTCAGAGAACCTCAGCCACCCTTCTCAGGGCTGGAATCCAGAGTGGCCAGACAACTTAGGGGCCTAGGGTCAGGGAGGTGGGACTGGAGAAACGCTAGGAGGGTGGGGGAGTTTGTGAGTCCTGAGGGCCAGGGAAAAGGGCAAAGGGCCTGGGGGAGGCACTGGTCGCGCCTCTGGAGCCTCAGGTTACAGGGAGAAAAGGAAACCTGTAAGGCAGCCATTGGGGAAGCAGGGGTGGCTGGATTTACCTTCGGGAACTCCGGAGCGCCACCCCTTCTCTGGCACTGATTGGGCCAGTCACACATTCCCGTTCCCGATGACTCTCCCCTCTCCTGCCTTACCTCCCCCATGGAAACGGTCCCCTCCGCTCACACACCCAGCCCCCAGCTGCCAGCCTTCCTCCAATGACTCAGCCTGAGCCACTGTCCCCTCTGACACCTCCTCCCTCCCCCGACACCTGTCCCCCTCTGGCTGAAGCTGACTCCCAGGACGTGATTATCACCAGCCCCCAGGTGGCTGTGCCAAGACTGGCCTGGTGGGCACCTGTTGGGGCTGGGAGGCAGCTGTCCCTAGCCTGTCCCCTGGGTCAGCCTCGATGAGACCCTCACACCCTTTTAGTTAGGGGGCTCTGTTCACCTTATTCTTGGCAAGTCTTCTTAGGATAAACACAACGATTTCAGACCCTCTTGAAAGTCTCTCTGTATCTGGATCATTTTACTTTCTTTTGAGACAGGATCTCACTCTGTCACCCAGGCTGGAGTGCAATGGTGCGATTATGGCTCACTGCAGCCTCAACTTCCCAGGCTCAGGTGACCTTCCTGCCGCAGCCTCTCGAGTAGCTGGGATTAAAATATTTTTTATTTTTTTTTTAGAGGCAGGGTCTCACTACGCTGCTCAGGAGTGGTCTCGAACTCCTGAGTTCAAAGGATCCTCCCACCTCGGCCTCCCAACGTGCCACAATCATGAGCCACTGCCTGGGACTTTGTATTGTTAAAACGATTTCCATACCTCAACCGAAAGAAATACAATTTTGGAACGTGCTCTTTCAGGCTGTTCTCTGCTTTGTACCTTCAGGTGGACGCCTCCTGCCAAACCGCCCTGGGGACGGACGAGGCATTATCTGGCTGGGAATGAGGGTTAGCGTGTGAAGGAGCAACCCTGCTCCCAGCACCACCGTCCCCTACAAAAGGAACTCCGAGGGTACAGTTGTGGGGCCAGCCTCCCTGTGTGTGTGGTAGGGAGGACTCGGCGACCTTCAGTGGCCTGAGAATCAAGTGACGGCAGCAGCTGCTAGCTAAGCTGGCGCGCCAAGCCTTTATTCACCTTTTCACCCATTAATTCATTTGGAGCCAGACAGCTGGGCTTGAAATACCAGCCACACCAAACTCCACACTCTGTAACTCCGGGGAAGTCAGTTAACCTCTCTGGGCCTCAGTCTCCTCATCTGGAAAATGGGTGTGATGGCAGCTTCTGCCTCCTAGGCCTGGTGTGAAGATTCATGGGTTAATATGTGCACAGCGCTTGGGAAGCACCCGGCACACCTGGCCAGCTGTTTGTTCTTGTTCTGCTCACTCCTGGTAAGTGCATGGCAGGGGCACAGCCCCGCCCACCCTGCCAGCCTCACGGAGTCACAGGCAGCGGAGACCAAGTAAGTAGGCTGCGTGGGAAGTAGAAAAGTTCCTCTTTAAAGTTTCCTGTCTTGTTAAAGAATAAATGTGCTGATAACTCTGTGAAGCCCTATCCTATGTAGCTGATAGACACGCTTACAGGCACGTAGTCCATTCTATGTCCTTGTACTTTAACCGAGATATCTGTGCTGGACGTGCTCACAGGCACGTCCCAGCTCTCCATGGCCTTTACCTGTTTAGAAAAGTTTTAAGTTGCTAGCCAGTCGGGTTTTAGTTTGTGAGGTCTGGCTCCAGCCAACGGAGATCAGACGCAGCAGTGAGGACCACCCCAGATGCGTAAGGAATAAATTTGTGTGTTTTTCCTTTGTTCTTTGTACTCTCGTGGCACGATGGCTAGCAAAGGTACCCTTCCTGTAGTCCAGGAAACAAAAATCACATTGCTGAAAGATCCTTTGTCTCAGTGCTGATTTTTCTTTGTGACACCGAGCATGTATTTCCAAGAGCTGTTACCATTCAGAGAGGGGAGGGCCTGCCTCAGGGCCCACAGGGAGGGCGCAGGTACTGTGAACAGTGCCCACTGGGAGGCCCGGGGTTCCGGCTCCAGCTCAACTGTCCAAGTGCTCTGTGACCCTGACCAGGTCACTTGCCCACTCTGAGCTGCAGTTTCCTGCTCTGCTGGAGGCATTGGGCTATCTCTCCAGGGCACTGAGCAGCCAGAGGTCCGGAAGGCCAGCCACTGCCCCCCCGATCGACTCTATTTTTACCTGGGATCTGGACACTGTGCTGTTCTTGGACTCAGAACCTGGGTGGGTGCGAGGGAACCCTGAGGTCATCCAGCCGGGGCTGAGCTGAGCTCCCTGGGCCTTAAAGCACGTGAGTCAGTTAAGGCCCCCTCAGTCCAGAAGGCTTTGTGCTGGGGAAGCTGCCCTTGGCCTGTCTCTGCCTCTCTGTCCCCCCTTCATCTTGCTCGCTCTTCTCGCTGGTTCTCTTTCTGTCTCTCTCTCTCTGTCTGTCTCTCTCCTGGCACATGTGCCTGAGGCCGGGGCAGAGCTCCACTCCACTCTCTGAGGCTCCTGGCCTCACTGCGCCCCAGTGAATCACAACCTGTTCTCATCCCTATTCTGTGCTTGTAAACTTTTTTCTCTTTATTTTAAGCTGTTTACAAAATCTCAGAGAATTTATGGGATCAGAAATGGAAAAGAGGGAGGGACAGAGGGAGGAACGCAAGAGTCAAGACCCGCAGCATCAGATCTCCTGCTTCAGAGGCCAATGGGCACACCCACACCAACCAGACAGAGGGAGAGAGAGGTAGGGGAGAGGGACAGTGGGGCAGCGGTGGGGGCTGCGGGGGAGAGGGAGGGAGAGAGAGGGAGGGAGGGAGAGAGAGAAAGGGGAAGAGAGGGAAGGCACAGAGAAAAAAGCAGAAGAGAAGCGAGAATGAGATGGAGCAAACAGAGAAACAGAGGCAGAGGGCAGTCACGGCGTCCCGGCACAAAGCCTTTGAACGGGGGAGGACTTGGTGTGCAGGGCCTCCCTCTTGCCATGGCAGCCCGATCAAGGTTTATCTTTTCTGGGCCTCAGCTTCCTCACTTAGAAAAACAAATCAGAGCTACGTGACCACCAAGGGCTCCCCAGGCTCTGACATTCAGATGTGATGCTGAGGCCACTTGGGAATGGTCCCAGCCTCCTCATTCCACAGATTTGGATAATGCCTTGACACTCAGCCAGTCCTCCACTGTTGGCTCAATATGACGGATCCCATCTAGCATACGGGATGCTGGTGTTCAGAGAGGCGGAGATGTTTTTCCAAGGCCACACAGCAACGGTGGTGGACAGGACCTATGGGAAGCTCAGTCCAGCCTGGGCAGGACTTTCCACTCACCTCCTTCCTCCCGGCCCGTGGCTCTCCCCTTGCCGCCCCCTCTCCAACAGCTGCACCCCCTCTCTGGCCCTTGGTGCTTCCTGCACAGGGGCAGAGGTGATCCAGCCAAGCAATAAAATTCTAAGCCATCCCATGTCTGAATGGGCCCCCTTCTCAGCCAAGGGCATTCCAAAGTAAACCTGATCAACTAGTTCTAGCCGTGATGGGAAGGAGGGCTCCGACAGTCCTCATTACACCCTGCTTGGCGTTGGAATTCAGGTGCAGCTGACCAGAACCAGCAATGAAACAGATTCAAAAACTGACAATACGGACTCTTTTTTTTTTTTGAGATGGGGTTTCTCTCTTATTGCCCAGGCTGGTGTTCAATGGTGCAATCTCGGCTGACTGCAACCTCCGCCTCCCGGGTTCAAGTGATTCTCCTGCCTCAGCCTCCTGAGTAGCTGGGATCACAGACTCCACCACCAGGCCCAGCTAATTTTTGTATTTTTAGTAGAGATGGGGTTTCACCACACTGGCTAGGCTGGTCTCGAACTCCTGACCTCAGGTGATCTTGCCTCAGCCTCCTTAAGTGCTGGGATTACAGACATGAGCCACTGTGCCTAGCCAATACAGACTCTTTATAACAATAAGACACAAAATTCCAATCTGACTCTAGAGTTGCCTCACATGACATAGCAAGCCCAGAAAAAACAGTGTTTTACCCCCAAAATATATTTATTTGACATATTTCGAAATGGCCCTGCAAAACTGTCTCTTATAGGGAAAATCTACAATCTGTAGAGAATCCCCTACCCTTTCCAGGTCTTGTCCTGGAGAAGTTACCTAGGAGTCTGGCACTTTTTAGAGACATTTACCATCTATTTGCTCTGAACCCTGCTACCTGGAGGCTTCCTCTGCACAGTAAGAACCTCGGTCTCCACAGCCCCTTATCATAACCCAGGCATTCCCTTCTACTGACTCCAGGTCTTTAGATAATAACTCTTTCAACCAATTGCCAATCGGAAAATCTTTGAATCCACCTACAACCTGGCTAGGTCACAGAAGGCATCCAGCATCTGCGGCTCCTTCTCCTGTGTCCCTTCATCCCGGAACCCAGTTGCCATGTCAAGAGGAAGTACAGCGGCCCATGTATGCCATGCAATGAGCGCTGCAAGGAAGGGCTGCCCCAGAGGCAGGAGACCCAGCTCCAGGCTGGATGGGCAGGGAGGGGAGGAAACGCTTCCCAAAGTGAGGATTCAGGAGTGCAAAGGAGCTGGGTGCCGTGACTCACACCCGTAATCCCAGCACTTTGGGAGACTGAGGCGGGTGGATCATCTGAGGTCAGGAGTTTGAGACCAGCCTGGCCAACATGGTGAACCCTGTCTCTA